CATAGATGTACATACGTGGTGAGATGGTGATGTTTCATGCAATTAAGAATGGGCTGCGCAGTCAGAAGGTCAGTCAGGGGCTGTTGTGATGGGCTTTCTGTCCTATGAGGATAGCAAAACTGAAAAAATGAGGTGCTCCAATTCAATACAGTGGTGCTGAGGTCCTGTTTAATGTGCTGCACTGGCAGAGCCTGCCCTGGCCTCTTTGAAAAGAGGCTGCAGTCTGCCATGAATGGCCATTCCAGGGGGCATGTGCTAGGCGGGACACAAGGCTGTGAGGAGGACTCTGGGCGCCTGTGGGCTGCCAGCCATGAAGACAAGGAAAGGTGGAGATTGCTTTGAGATTTCCTTCGAGAAGGTCACCTGGGAATTGGGTTGAGGCAAAACTACTGCAATTTGCAGGATCCAGCAGCAGGGCAGAGAGGCAACAGCGTCCTAGGAGGCCTTGCGTGCTGTGTCACACTTTCCCTTGCAGAGGCTCTCAGTGCAAGCTGATGTTGGCCTTCATCCCATCTTAAAGCATGTCATTGGCCTGCCTGCCCATCCTGGTGCCTGAGCTGCAGACCTGCTGAAGAGCCTGCTGCTGGCCCAGTTCATCGGTCCTGTTTGCTGGCAACAGGGACTTGGTTTGTGAAAGTGGAGTAGGTCTCTCCTCCCCTCTGCGTGCATCAGTGCTGTCTCGTGCCTGTAGATTACTTACGGCTCAGCGAATATCTTGACTGCAAAGAGCTGTAGCGGAGAGCATGTTTTGGGCAGTATCTCACTGCTCGCACCCTGTTAGTGTGCTTTTGCAGACGGCCTCGCTTTATACTCTATCCTTTACCTCTCTTGTATGTTCCTGGTAGAAGTGTTCCTCGGCACCTCTGCCTCCTTGGTGCTTGTGTCCTGTGGAAGAAGAGATTCTGGAGGTTCCTTGTTTACACAGAGCTCAAGCTGCTTCTCTGCCACCACCTTTGCAAGTTTGTGCAGAAGTTTTGGGGAGCTGTGCAGCTCCAGATTTGCAGGGTGCTTCTAAAGTTGCTGCTCCCCTGCTGTGTGTGGTGTACCCCCAAATCTTTTTGCTGAGGCCAGAGGTAGGTCAAAATGGTTTTCATCTCCTTACTCAGGCTTACGGGCAAAGCACAGGCTCTAACCTGCTCCTCCTGTATTGTGCATAGATGTAGTTTCAACCCATTTTCCTTCCCTCTCTGCCAGCCTTAGGAACTGTGCCTCTGGTTTGTATTCCCCTGGCATCAGGGGCTTTAGAGGTGTGTGGTGTTCACCAGAACATTGGACTTGAAATGCAGCAGTAAAACTAGCCCCTGTGTGTGTCAGCTGTGAGCAGCACTCACCTGTTGGGACAGGAGGTTGGATGAGTTTGCAAGCAACAGCTGGAGCCAGTGCTTTGCTGCTGGCACTGAATGTCACAAAATGCATGTGTTGAAGGAGCTTTGCTTTTCAAGATGAACTCACAGGGCAGGTTGGTGAAAGTGTTGTATTTCAACAGACTTCAGAGCAGAAACTCCAAATTTGTTGTTTGACTAGAGAGGAAGGAAACAGCTGGGAAGCTGCAACCTGGGGCAGAAAAAAAAAGGGAAGGGGGAAATGTGCATATAATGATGCTTTGGGCTGTTTTCAAAATAAGACATCAGTGTTTTAGAACATACTTGAGAAGACTGCATACTCTAGAAAATTTCACCATTGAGGGGTGTGGCGAGTAGGTCGAGAGAGGTTCTTCTTCCCCTCTACTCTGCCCTGGTGAGACTGCATTTGGAATATTGTGTTCAGTTCTGGGCCCCTCAGTTCAAGAAGGACAGGGAATTGCTTAAAAGAGTCCAGCGCAGAGCCACAAGGATGATCGAGGGAGTGGAGCATCTCCCTTATGAGGAGTGGCTGAGGGAGCTGGGTCTCTTTAGCTCGGCGAAGAGGAGACTGAGGGGTGACCTCATTAATGTTTATAAATTTGTAAAGGGTGAGTGTCAGGAGGAAGGAGCCAGGCTCTTCTCTCTGATGTCCAGTGACAGGACAAGGGGCAATGGGAGCCAGCTGGAGCATAGGAGGGTCCATGTGAACATGAGGAGAAACTTTTTTACTGTGAGGGTGACAGAGCACTGGAACAGACTGCCCAGAGAGGTTGTGGAGTCTCCTCTGGAGACATTCAAGGCCAACCTGGACGTGTTCCTGTGTGACCTAGTTTAGGTGATCCTGCTCTGGCAGGGGGGTTGGACTAGATGATCTTTCGAGGTCCCTTCGAACTCCTGAGATTCTGTGATTGTGTGAGGCTTTAATGCCATCAGAGAGTTAACTTGGTGAGTTCCTGGGTTTGTTCCTTCCCCCTCTTCCTGGTCTTATTTTGGTGTAATTCTTGCAGTTCAGAATCCCAACTTCGAACAACAGTGCTTGCTTAGCTCAGGTGAGTGAGAGTGTGTCTGTCTGTCTGTGTGTCTGTATGTCAGTGCACACATGTGTATGCTCCTTAGCCAGGGTTGGTGCTGTCAGGATGTGTGCATTTGTGTGTATGTGCATGTGTTCCTTTTCGTGATCATCATCTTTGCTGGGGGTGGTGGCCATGATGGGTGTGTGAATGTGGGCAGGTGGACATGTGCTCCTGTTTGTAATCTCCTTGGCCAGCAGCAGTGGTGGGGTGTGTGCTCCTGCTTGGTGCCAGGTTGAAGAAGGAGGAAGTCCATCCTTGCAGTAGTTTCACAGCTCAAGAGTGGTTGCTACTTATTCTGTTTAATTATATGAGCAAGTAGATGCAGATTTATAACTTACCTACCAAAAAGTTCCGTGATTTGGGGGGATCACACGGTGATCAGTTTTTGGCAAGACCATGGGGTAGTTGCTGTGGGATTTGGCTGTTCAGAGAGGCACACCATTCTGATCACTGTGGATCAATCCTGTCCTATAGAGATCTGCAGGGATTAGTGTGAGACCTACTGCTGTCCAGAACTGGCACTGAACACATAGCAGTGACCCAAATCTGGGTGATGCAGGGATTGGTTAAGTAACAGATCAAAAGAGGGTCATCAGGGACAGTCAAGCTGCTAGGGAGCACCCTTGTAAAGATTGTGTGCTCTTGTGCTGCAAATAAGTACATTTAGACTCCAGAACATGTGTGCTAATCCCTGTTGGAAGGGTGGTGGTATTTGAGAAAACAGTGTTTTGAGAAGGGGTTGGAGTTGCGGGGTACAAAGCTACACCTGAGCTAGTGAGATCTTTGGGTGCTGCAGGGAGCGAAGAGCAGAGGGTGGAAGGGAGTGACCACCTTCCTGCATGTGGGATGGGAAGGACCAGGGGCAGAGGACAGGGTCTTCTGCTGTGTAAAAGAGACCTTGAAAACTGGAAGGGGTAGAAAAAGAAGAAGCTTTGAAGTGCCTTATCAGAGATAAAAGAGCTGCCCAAGTGGGCAGAGCTGACCAATGTGCACATCCTCTTCCCTGAGGAATAATACCGGATACTGACAGGACTCCTCAGAGAGAAGCATGAAGAGCTAATGAGTGGATTGGTTTAGATAAGGAGTGTGTTTTTACAGTGAAAACAACTGCCTGGTAGTATTATAATCTTTCAGTATTCTCAAGACTGGATATCCTTATGGGAATTTTACTCTTTTGGGGATAACTTTTCCATGCAGGTAACTATCATGACTAGATCACTGCTAAGTGGAAAATTTGAGTAGATGTTCTGTCCTTGGCTTACACATTCAAGCCTCATTCCTCTCTATGGCTTGCTTGTCTGGGGACTGGAGACAGTCAAATTTGGCACTGGTAAGTGACTGTCAGCTAAGCTTAGCCTCTTTTTCTTGGTACACCTGATGTGGTTGCTCTGCCCTCTGTATAGTTGCTTCCCCTCTGACCCTCTGCTTGTAGGAAGGGAGAAATCTTACCATGTGGGACAGACTTACTGCTCCCCAGAAACACTTAGGCAAGGTTAGGAGTGAGCTGTGGAGAGCGTGACCAAAGATCAGGAGGCCACCTCTAGGGAAGGGAATGCAGGGCTTGCAGTGCTGGGGTACATAGGGTACGAGGGTTTAGGGAGCTGTAGCCCTGGGCTTTGGCTGCAGGAATCCAACCTCTGGGCTGTTCTACATTGAGGAGTAGCTTTGGCCCTCAGAGAGCACAGTGTGTCAGACAGAAAGGTATGTGGTAGTGGCTCATCTGTTCTCTGGGAAGGGTGGCGTAAATCTTAGGTACACTGGTATCCACAAAAGTCCTGGGTGCTACTGGCTGCAGCAATGCAGACATTGAGCATGAAACACAGAGGATAGTTTGCAAAACATCAGAGTGACGGTGTTTCCTGTTGTAAAAACATGTCTGGCCTGTGCTCCCTGACACATAGTGCCTTGCAAGGAGTCTCCATGGGAGTCCTGCTGCTGGCTGCTAGGCAGGAGGTTGGGGTGGCTGTGTCACAGGCACTGACTAATCCTTCAAGCAGCATAAGTAGCTCTTTTCACTCAGCCTCAGGCTCCTTCGTGGGTTTTTCCAGGAAGTGCCACTTGCCATGCTGAGTCCCTGGGATTTGAGGTAGTCAGGGTGGCTCTGCTGCACGAGGCTTCCTGTGGGACTGCTGCCTCCCAGCTTCCCAAGTCAGCTCTGCGTGGTACTGTGCAAGAGAAGAGACGAGCTGCAATGTCTGCATGGGAACATTTGCCTTAACTAAGTCCAGGATAAGAGAGGATTTAAGTGCTTTGGTTTATAAATAAACAGCACTGTGGCCAAGGTAGATTTAAGCAGAGCTGGCAACAGCCCTGCATGGGAAGGGATCTCTTTACCACATGGCCTGCTGTTGGACTTCCTGTAGCATGCTAATCCCTTAAGCCTGCTTTAGCTCTGTTAATTTTCCTTCTTTCCTTTTTTTCCCAATGGGTTGTCTCGGTGGCACATGAATGCCAGCATTCCTCGGCCAAACCTGTGCCTGCAGCTGGGCCAAGCATCCAGGCTGCCTTTCGAGCACGGGGTACCATGTGGCAGGGCCCCAGGGATGGTGGTGCCTGAATGTGTCCCATTCTCTCTGTCTTACAGACTCTGCAGTCTGCGCCTGAAGAAACTCACGGTGCTGAAAGAGCTGGACAAAGAGCTGAGCTCTGTACTTATCGCTGTGAAGATTCAGGTAGGCTTCTCTCCTTGTGCTGCTTGTTGGCAGCAAGCCCATCCTTGTACCCTCTGTGAATTGCTGGTCTGCATGTCCCTCGCCTTGTGCCAACCCCTTGCTTTTGTCTCAGTTAGCACCCCTGGGGAGATTTTCGCTCCCAGGCAGGTGGGAATGATGCCCCACGGAGAGCAGCAAGCTGTCTGGTGCTGGTTTGTATCGGGGATGAATTTGGTTAGGCCTCTGCACTGCGACAGAGTGCATCTTGCTTTCCTGCCTGCCTCAGCCAAGGCCCTCCTCTCAAGCTGCTGTTTGGAGTTTGGCATCTGCTACCCCACCATTCCCAACACATTAGACAGGCTCAGCGCTGGGTGGTTTCTGGCAGTGCTCTCCCTGAGGAGTGAAGGGTGGGAAGGGGAAGGTGCAAGGGATCAGCGGCTCCGTCAATGACTTCTGCTGACATTTGCACTCTGTGTGATCTCACTGCTGCCTATGCTGTCCCCTCTCTTTCTCTGTGCATCCCCACTAGGCCTGGTGCCTCTACTCTAAACCATGCATAGGAGAGGGGAGAGGATCTTTGCCCCCAAGGGGAGAGAGAATTTGTCCCTATCCTGGCATGTGCAATCCTCCCCGGTCCCTCTCTGCAGCTTGTGGTGAAGAGTTGGGTCCCTGTGGGTGAAGGTGCATCCTTTCCTCCCACTGAAGGCCAGTGTGGAAGCAAGATGCCTCTTGAGTCTGCTGACCTTGCCACAGCTCCCATAACCCAGCTTGCAATGCTGGTGTCCTTCCTTCATTCTTGTCAGCTGGCGGAAAAGCTGCTGATCCCATTGAAAGCACGGTGAGGCGGGAGCTCGGCAGCTTTGCGCTCCCACAGAGCTCTTTGTGCGGCACACATGAGGATCTAAATCCTGGATTATTGCTGGGAGCTGCAGTATCAGTGGAGCTCTGGGAGCTGAGGTTTGCCATTGTGGCACACCTGATTCGCTTGCACTGGAGGAACTGAAAGTGAAATGTGTGAAACCCAGGGCCTGGAGTGAAGACAGCAGGAGAGTGCCGTGGTCCACACACTATTGATCAGTGTCCCACTTTGCTGACCTTTCCATCACTGTGTGTATGGTGCCACTCAGGAGAGCTGAAAGCGCTGGGCTTTCAGCCCTGAGACCCCTTAAAGCTGTACCCCTTTGGTGCAGGCTTTAGCAAGGGAACAACCTGGGCAGGAGGGAGATGCCTGGCCCCTGGAAACACAGGAGCAAGCAAGGCTGGGCCAGAGATGCCAGCAGCAGAGGACTGGGGAGCTGGGAGCCAGCTGGAGGCTGTGGGTCTCACGTGTCTGGGAGGGCTAGGCTGGTCCCTCACTCCTTTTGTCTCTGTGCTTCTCTGGACTGGGTAACCTCAGGCTCCTGTGCAGCCCCCCTTGTGCTGCGGCTACTAAATGCTGAGCATGTGTGCCCACAACTGCCCCCTCCCTCACGCTCTGCGCATGTGAGACCGTGGAAGAGGCTGCACAGAGGGACTCCATCCAGCTCTTTCAAACAGATAATTTCTGTCCTTGCCACAGGCCAACCTTGCGCCCTGTTGGCAAAAGAAATGAACAGGCCTCAGCAGTGACTGTTTGAGGCCACAGGGGCTCTTCACTGCAGGGCTCCTTTTCCTGCCAGGGAATGAAGGCTGCAGGGTCTTAATCTAAACATGGTCACCCGTGGCTGTGTGCTGGTGTAGGCTCCCTGCAAAGCTGAAGGAAACTGGAGGAGAATGCTTCTGCCCACGTCGCCCTGTGACTCAACACTCATTATGGGAGTGGGGTGGGCTTGTGTACTTCCCCAGGCTGCTTCCACCTGCCTGACCAGCCACCTTGGCAGGGTCGGAGGCTGCTGAGCCTTCCTGGAAAGCAGATGGAAGCTGTAGGCAGCTTCAGCACAGTCTGCCTACAGAACGGCCTCAGATGGATCCATCCCTCCTGCTCCTCTCCTAGATAACAGATGAGTCATGCTAGCAAGAAGCTGTGTGACGGCTGCCCAGCAGGCGTTGCCATCTCCATCTTTTGGATGGAAACAGCCAATGCATGTGATTTGTGGAGGATCTGCAAGCTCCCAAGGGGGCACCTGGGGACTAGTGGAAAGGGGAGATGTATTTTCTCTCATTCCAGTAGTAGCTCTGTCAGGTTAAGGAAGTTCATTGTCAGGAAGTTGCAGCTCTGAAAAAGATTGCATGGAAACAAAACTCTGACCCTGCCTGAGTGTGGCTGGCACCAGTCTGCTCAATGAACGTACATGACCCCAAAGGGTAGTGTAAGCCCGTCTAGAATATCTGATTTCCTTCTCACAGTGATCGTGCCCTTCTCGTCTTAAAACACAGCTTTCAAGTGTGGCCTGTGCTGTTATCTGCTTCATCTGAAAAGACCTCTGTTAAAAGACTGTGGGAGCTTTCTATGTCTACAGAGCATCCCCATTTACCAGAGGTGATCTGAGTATTTAATGTTCAGTGGCTTCCAGTCACATAAAGTCTAAACTACTGTGAAAAAGGAGACTTACTCTAATATCACTTGAATGGTTTTTAAACCTTTATCCCATGTTATGTTTTAACAGACCAGAGATGTCACAGAGCATTTCCTTCTGTGTATTGTTCAGCATGGCATTAAGAGATTCAGATGTGCCTGGCTCAGCTCCATAAAGGTGCAGGTATCTGTCTTGGCATCGTAGCTAATTATGGTGTGAAGGGAAACATGGTGCTCCCTCCTGGAAGAGACACTTACCATAATTCAGAAACACTCAATCTTGAGCCACAAATAGAGGAAACAATCCAAGAAAGAAGGAAAACAAGCCCCAGCACTCCCAGAACTTTCAGCTCCTGTGACAGATGCTATGAGGGGAATGCAGATCCTCCTGCAGCTGCTTGCAGGATATGGCTGGTGACTCTGGTTCAACCCTTGGTGCTGCTGGAGAGGAGTGATGCTGGCAGCCCCTGCATATCAGACTAGAATGTGAGCTACAAAACAGGCCAAACCTGGCTGCTGCCCTAGCCCTGCTCCCTGCAGGAACTTGGATTTTTTGCTCCTTCTTGATATGCATGGAAAATACATACAGAGTTTTCTGTCTATGCTTCACTCATGCTTTGTTTGTATTCTTTTTGCAACCACTTGTAGGATTTTCCACTCCTGCCTGAGCAATGCCAGCTACCCCCTAAATAAATAAATGTGCTGAGGATATTTAATGGGCTGTTACCTCCCAAAATGCAGCTTTAGCTTGAATTCTGGTTAATGCTTTTATGTCTGCCCTGGTCTGGTCTCCCGTACTCAGTTCTCTCTCCATTTCCAGGTTTGGTAGACACTTCTAACGTCAATAAACGCTTTAAAGACCCATCAGGACAGATTTGTACCTGAAATTGGGGACTGTACCTTGCAAACCAGACTTGGGCATCATGCACCTGTGTATAGTAGCGAAAGCTCCGGTTTTCAGTCTATTAGGTGGTGAAGATCTGTGACCACAACCTCTCCCTATTGCTTTTCACTTCCTTGACAGTCTTTGTCATCTGTGATCTTCACTGTAACAGTCTGATTTTACATTTTTCTGTAGTACTGCTGGTGACACTCAGCTGTTCTGAGAAATTGGTCTTGCCTGACATTATTTCAGTTGCAAAACAGCTGAGCTACATCAGGTGCTCAAGGCCATGTCCAGTTGAGGTTTGAATTTCCCAAGGGATGGAGAACCCTCAGTCTTCCTATGTCCTGTCCCAAGGTTTGACTGCACTCAGAGAGAAGAGAAAAAATCTAAACATCTAATGGTAATTTCCCATGTTCCAGCTCATCCCTGTTGCCTCTTACTCTGTCCCTGTGCGCCTCTGAGAGTTCAGTGCTGTCTTCTCTGCACCTTCCTGCTAAGTGTCTCTAGGCAGCAGTAAAGCACCCCTTCCCTCTCTGTTTTTCCAGCTGAACAAACCTATCTCGCTCAACCTCTCCTTGAACGTCCTGTGCTCCGGCCCCTGACCATCCTGATGTCTTCTGCTGGACTTGCTCCAGTCTGGCAGTATCTGTCTTGTGCTGAGGAGCCCCAGCTGGCTCTGGAGTCCAGCTGCGGTGTCACCAGGGCTGAATAGATGGGAGGAATCCCTTTTCTCTGCTTCCACGTTTGCTAAGGCCGAGATTGGTGTCACTGCTGCAAAAGGGCATGCTGCCAATGCAGGGGTACCTTGATGTCCCCCAGGGTCCCCCCTGTTCCTTTCTGCAGAGTCTGTCCTGCTGCCTGTTCTTCCCAGGCAGAAAGGTCATGGGATGTCCTAGGAAAGGACTTTGCTTTTGCCTTTATATGAGATTTGTATTGACCTTACTAGAAATCCCAAATGGTTCTTAACTCTCTGTTGCTGATAGGCAGGTAGTAGCCCCCAGGTGCTAGTGTCTGATTGGTTTAATTGGAGCAGTGCTAGTTTCTGCTGGGTTGTGGTTTGCTTCTGAAGGTGATCAGTGTTTCCTACTGGATGTGTGAGTGCCATCCATCTCATGAAACCTGGCATGACTTGCAGGCTGAACTTGAGCTTTAGATAGCAGCTTTACCTTGCTGAGAGGACTGTACCACACACATTTGCAGTACAATATCAAGCCTTTTCTCTACCCCGTGTCCTGAGTGCTATGTTCTAGGGTGCCCTGGGAGCTGATCCTCTGGCTGAGCTTGGACATTGCCATCTCTCTCCCTTCATGTGACCCCACAAGTCAGGTATCTCCTAGGGCTGGAGCTCAGCCAGGGTGCATTGCACCCAGAAAGAACTGGCCCAGACCTAAAAAGTACTGCTGTTTCGGAGTCTCTCAGCTCTGCTGATGTTCCCTTCTGCCTGCATTGTGATAATGAACCAGCTTTGTCCCAGTCCTTGCAATGCCACGTCGATATGCACCGGCGTTTCGCTGAGGGCCAGCACCCAAGATTGGAGCTGGGTGTGTAACTTCCATAATGGTAAATGGCAGAAGAATAATTGCACCAGTGTGTGTGTTTGGATGAAAGAACGACTCTTTGTTGGTTAATCTCTCTGCAACAGACAGAAAATGGTAAATGTGCTAAAGTCGCTGTCATAGTGACCCCCTATCATCTCTTATTAAATGAGTGTTCAGGAAGGAAGAGCCAGTACATTCTTGGCCAGGAAAACTCACAGATGGTGAAGGGGATGAGCTCCACCTCTTCTCTTTGGTTTTAGGAAGACCTTTCCCAGGAAGGCCTCACTCCTGGCACAATCGATGGGAACAGTGGTGCAGTCAGCTCAGACTGGGCCTCTTGAAAACCAAGGAGGGTATCACCAGAGCTTGTCTTTGCTTGGGTGTCAGTGAGAACTGTAATGCTGCATTACTGCAAAATGTGGAGGCCCTTCTTGCCTCCCCTCTGTAGGTTGTTGGCCACAACACATAGCCTGCTGGCAGTGACATCTGTCAGGATCAAGTCAGGAATAGTGTGGGAATACAATGAGGTCCTGGGAAGGGGCAATGTATATGTGGTGAGACCTGATTCCTTTGCACTGCTGTGCCTATTTGGTTAGCTTTGACCCATCTGCTCACTAGTCTATAGTTTAAATGAAGGAGTGCTCTTTAAGCAATGATAATGGGTTTGCAAGAACGGCTGTACTGACCTATCCAGCTTGCTGGCCCATTCACAGGAAGGCAGAAGGGAGTGAGGAACCACCATGGGCTATTTTATATTTGGAGCTGGTCCCACAGCCCTGCAGGGACACAGCCCTTTTGGGGCACCCTTTTGGGGGGGATCTGTGAGTTGTGCCACTCTGTGACCTAGAAAGTCTGGTGCATGCAGACAGCATTTTTCATCCCCCAAGTCATTCAGTGTCTCTGTCAGCAGCCAAGCTGGAGCAATACTAAAGATAGGACAGAAGTGAAGGAAGGAGTTGAAGTGGAAACATGGTTAGAGTGTCTCTTACTGCCCTCCTGGGGCAAAAAAAACACATTTGTATATGTGGACAGATGAGGACTGTTGCCTGAGGAAAAGACTAGGAGGAGTTTTCTGAGAGATGAGGTGGGCAAGCAAGGGGACTCTTGTTCCCCTGGGACATTCTGCCTTGGTCCCAGCAAAGCCATCCTGCCAGCTGTGCTTGGGCAGGAGTCTGCACTGGGCCTGTCTGTTGGGTGGGCAGAGATGTGCTCCAGGACCTGTCTCTTTCCCGGCTAGGCAGTGTGTTGGGACCCTTTCCTTCCTCTGCAGGTGCTGTGTGCATGACTCCTCTGGCTCTAGTGGTGTCCCCCTCCACAGCTTCCGTTGAGCTCCCAGTGCAAGGAGAAGGAGCCTTTGGCAGCTCAGGATAAACTGCAGGCTTTTGGGAAGCTTTGATTGCTGTGTCTAAGGAAGCTCTGCAAGGTGGAACAGAATGGAGTCAAGGCACTGGCTCTTTCCTTGTGGACTGTGAATCCCATTGACCGCTGTGTGGGGTAAAGTGGAGTCTGTGGCCAAGACACTCCAGCATAGCTGTGTGCGTCTACCAATCTTCTTGTAGGGTTCAAAGCGGGTCCTGAGATCAAATGAATACGTCCTCCCACCTGGCGGCCTGATGGAGACTGAGCTGGAGCTGACCTTCTCACTGCAGGTACCTTGTGTTGCCTGGTCCCCTGGGCTCCCTGGTGCTCCCCTCACCTGGCATTTCTCGGCAAGCATGGCTTTGGGGGCTCAGAGTGAAGGGGGCAGCCTCTGAGGAGGGGCCTCCTGTGGTTGCCCGTGCTCAGATCATAACAGCACAGATTCCTGC